ATCCCCACCCTCATGATCCTTTCAACGCGTTCATCTCGCATATCTCCCAGCTCCGCCGCCGCATCACTTCTACGAATATCCCCATGAACTCGCGCATCGTGTCCATCAAGACCTTGAGGATCCTTCACCCATCGATCGGCGCAACTATCCCCATGAACTCGCGCACCTATCCCAAGAGTATCCCGATCTCCGCCGTCTCCATCAGGACCAAAAGGATCCCATCTATCAACTCCATTGTTTGCTATCCCAACATCATCCGATCTCCGAGCATATCCCAAGTCGCTCCGTCCATGATGCGATTCCTCCAGGCAGCCGTCTCCGGCTAACATATCTTCCTCGACAACCCCGCCAAAAACACTCGAAGGCCCTGATATCCCATCATCCGCCCTAGGAGTCGTTCCATCTGAAAGGCTCAGATCCCATGGTCCTCCTCGTTCCCGACTATCCCCAACGCCTGACAAGTCAAACGCTTTGTCGTCCCCGCTCGCATTCTTCCCAAGTCCATCTCCATCTCCAGCGCACCCATCGTACATTCCGTTCCCTATTCCTGCGGGGGTGCGTCCACTCCCCACATGTCTATCCCGACCCAAATCCATGTATCCCTCTCGTGCCCGCTCGTCGTTCCACATGTCCGTCATGACGTTGAACTATCCTCGCCTCGCCTTCGGCTCAGTCGGTACAGAAACTACAAGGCTCTTAACCTGTGCGAAGTGTCCAAATCAAGGAAAACTTGCGCGTCGAAGAACTGAAAAACTGTGTCCACTATTCCGGTTGATCAGACCCAAGTAGACAAGGAAGTTGGTTATATACAGTTGTAAGGTGTAATGTTGCTCCAGAAGTAGCAGTATCCCTGCCAACGGGGAACTCAAGGTAGCTAGCCTATCGTTCCAAGCCACTCCCGACGTTAACTATCGGAAGGATCCCCAGAGTTGCTATCTCCAGGGGGTGGTAACCTATCGTTCAAGATGTATCCACTAGCCGTCCGGCTGCGTGTTGTACACCTATCCCAATATTCACCTGAACAGCCACCTGCTCTCAGTATCCTCCGGCCTCCGGCTATGAGTTGTAAAGAGAACAAATAACTATCCCAAAGGTTAGGGAAGGACCTATCCCTCGTCAACGCCCGATCCTTTTAGCTCCTCTGGCCTCCGGCTGCGAGTTGGCTAATCAGATCCACAACGTACAGGGACACTATCCACGGGGGCGAAAACTGTACAGGCGGGGCGCAGCTACACGTACGAAGTCAAGAAACAAACAAAAGAGAAAGGCGAATGAATGTACAGTGTGCTTATGTTGCTGTCCTGTTGCCCTGTAAGCCCAGACAGCAACAGCACACGAAATTCTATCCAGGCCCCTCCATCTATCCCAAGGCTCAGTGCGCTATTCCGGCTCGTCCGCGAGGAGGTCGACATCTATCCCGGAGCAAACCCGAAATCAACTGACATCAAAACAATTGCTCCCCCGAAAGTACCTGAAAGACGTGGTGCGAAACAATTTGGGGGGCCCTAAACCCTAAACCCTAAGCCCTAAACCCTAAACCCTAAAGCCCCCATTTTCGTAAACCCCCACATTGCAACACTGGCCATGCGGATGCCTATGGACGTTATGCCGCCATCCGCCTTCTTCGGCAAGATCTGCCAGGGCCATGCCAGAGTGTGTAGTTCCTAAGCCCCTAAACCCTAAACCCTAAACCCTAAACCCAAAACCCTAAACCCTAAACCTGTGTTGCTACTGCTAACTCGATTGACCTGCAGAAGATAGGTCAAAAGCTTGCCCCTGGCACGGAGGGACTCCCTTCTACCACCTCTTTGCAACCATCTTGCCACATCTCCCACCATCGCCCTGCAACAGCACTCACACCTTGGGTGACCCCCAAAAAACTATCTGAAAAATACTCCTGAATATGATCCTCTTAAACCTAAGAACAGAAAATGTTAAAATGTCCCAAAGGGCCGACCGAGATATGAACAAGCCTCACGAGGCCCCTCAACATAGCACAGGGGAAGCAAGCGAAGAGTCGGACAACAGTGGGTGGCTCTCTCAACTAAGGTCCCTTTTGGGGTCCTTCATGGCAAGGGCGCCGTATTCTACAGGGGACCCCAAAACAAGTTGAACCCCTAAACCCTAAACCCTAAACCCTAAACCCCAAACCCTAAACCCTAAACCTTTAAAAGGGACCCTAACTTGGGGGTTGATGAATATGTGGGACCCTAATATTGACCCCCAAATCGTAGGATTCCCTTATCCAAAAGGATCCCAATAAGGTCCCCAAACTCTAGACCCTATTGGCCTCTGCAAGACTGAAGAACGCTGAAGGAACCCTGTGTTGCGCGCACAGAGCTAAACCCTAAACCCTAAAAACCTGACCCCTACGACCCCTACGAACCCTAGGAACCCTCCAAACCCTAGAAACCCTCAACCCCCTAATTTCGGAAACCCCCCATATCTGATCCCCAAACCCTAAACCCTAAACCCGAAACCCTAAACCCTAAACCCCCCTAGCTTCGGAAACCCCGCATTTAGAGAACGGCCCAAAAGGCCTCTTTCAGCTCCTCCTCCGTGAGATGCTCGTATTGCTTGAAGTTCGCCTCTAGGCCTGCAGTTTAGGGTTTAGGGTTTAGGTTTTAGGGTTTAGGGTTTAGGGTTTAGGGGCCAAATCTGACATGGGGCGATTGCAGAGAGTGAAACCTAGGGCTCAAGGCCGCTGCTTCCAGGGAAACCCCCAAAACCCTAAACGCTAAAGAAGCTGGCGTCTTGGAGGCTTTAGGCTCTGCGGGCCTTAAGGCGCTAGACCTCGGCCAGGGAAACCCCAAAACCATGGCTCTTTGTGGAATATAAAACCGACCACCCCGACCAATAAACTCTAATAACCTCGTCTGCTTTCTGGCCGCTTGCTCTTTTTTGTGCAGGGCCGGTTGAAGGCTCTGGGAACCCCTGGGGGTTTAGGGTTTAGGGTTAGTCTTTAGGGTTTAGGGTTAGGGTTTAGGGTTTAGGGTTTAGGGCTTAGGGCTTAGGGCTTAGGGTTTAGGGTTTAGGGTTTAGGGTTTAGGGTTTAGGGTTTAGGGTTTAGGGTTTAGGGTTTAGGGTTTAGGGTACCTCCAGAACCCTAGGGGCAAGGGCCCACGTCGGATTGAAGGGTCTAAGGATGCAGGGCGGATGTCGAAGGATAGTCAAGTTGAGGAATCTTGCTATGGGTTTCGGGTTAAGGACCTGAAGAGTGATGTATGTAGGGATTCAGTCAAATTCACTGCTAAACCCTAAACCCTAAACCCTAAACCCTAAACCCTAAACCCTAAACCCTAAACCCTAAACCCTAAACCCTAAACCCTAAACCCTAAACCCCAAGGCCCCAACGCTCATCTCTTTCGATGGCCTCAGGACCTCGGCGACCGGGGTCTGCATCTGGACGAAACCAGCACGCAATGGGCAAGAACTCGCTGTGCTACCCTAAACCCTCAACCCTCAACCCTCAACCCTCAACCCTCAACCCTCAACCCTCAACCCTAAACCCCAAGCCCACTTGGCAGCTCACTTTTGTTTGCTGCCGCCTTCGCTTTTGCAGCGGCCTGCCACGACCGGGGGAATCTGCTGGCGAGCTCACTCCCCTAAACCCTTTACCCTTTACCCTTTACCCTTTACCCTAAACCTTAAACCCTAAATCCTAAACCCTAAACCCTACCCCAAACCCTAAACCCTAAACCCAAAACCTAAAACCCTAAACCCTAAACCCTAAACCCCCATGCTTCTTTCTGGCTCGGCCTTTGCTTTGGCTTCTGCCTCCTGAAGGAAAGCATCTCTGAACTTGGAACACAGTGCAGGAAACTGAATATGGGGGGGGGGGGTTGATCTCAGTTCTGGTCAACTACTCAGACTGGGAACGTGATGCAGAACAATTCCCGTAACTTGCAAGAGCAAGCAGAAGGTGCGACCAACCTAGGGCACGAAGCAGCGCTTTTTTGCGGCAGTCTGTTCATTGCTCGCACATGAGAATTTGAGCAAAGTGAGGACAAGCAAGAAACCGTCTCAGCTGACACGGTGGCATACTGATAGGGTTGCGCGGCACCGTGCTTATCCAAAACTTTGCTCGCAGCAGGCATTGCCTGACGCAAGTGCTTTATGGCATAGGTATACTATCTTCAGGTGCGCCCCCCGGGAGACGCAGAGTTGTTGCAACTTCCGTGCTTAAAAAGAACAGGGCCTGGCTACAGCCACTCACGGATGTGTGCTTCAAGTCCGAGAACAAATCGGCCTCAGCATCCCAGAGTCCCTGAAAGCAATGACACCAATAGGGTTCAGGGTTTCGGGCTTAGGGCGTTTCGGGTTTAGGGTCCAGAAGCGACTTGTTTGCAAGGGCTTGGTGTCAGCAGAACTACGTCGAACTCCCAGTAACTCCTACAACAACAGGTTCGGGAAGGAACCCTAAACCCGAAACCCTGAACCCTAAACCCTAAACCCTAAAGACTAACCCGAAACCCTAAACCCTAAATCCCCAAGGGGTTCCCAGGGGGTGGCGGGACCCTGGAACCTCCCCTGGAACCTTTTCTCTCTCCTGGCTTTCTGCCTGAGTTTTGACCTTCATGGGACCCGCCGGACCTTCCTGGAACCATCCTGGAAACCGAATAACTTTTTGGCAAGGCCCTCAACAAAACCACCGGAAGAAGCTTTCTGTAAGTGGGCCATTAACTTGAGTTTGGGCCTAAACCCTAAGAGGAGTAGGTTTGGGCGGCTTTGTCGCCTTGGACGGCATGGGGTGGGAGAAAGGTGTTAGATGGCCCTCCACGATCGGGCCAGAGCTGCTCTTCGCACCTAACAAAGCTTTCCAGCTTATTCCGCACCCCAACCTCCACGGCATCTGCGCTGCCATTACAGCAAACCCTAAACTTAAACCACAAGTAAACCCCCCTGAACCGCAAACCCTAAACCCTAAACCCTAAACCCCAAAACCCTAAACCCTACTGCTTGCATGCCGTGACATGGCTGAGGCGTGAACCATTGAAGCCTCAGGACTGAGCCCCGTGTGCCTGGCACTTCGCTAGGGTGTAGGGTTGATTGGTTTTAGGGTTTAGGGTTTATAAGATCCATAGGTTAGTAGGGATTATAGGGTCTATAGGATCTATAGGGTTTATGGGGTTTATAGCGTTTATAGGGTTTGTAGCGTTCACAGGTTCAGGTTTCAAGGGTTCAGGGTTAGGGTTTAGGGTTTGGGGTTTAGGGTTTAGGGTGTAGGGTTTAGGGTTTAGGGTTTAGGGTTTAGGGTTTAGGCTTTAGGGTTTAGGGTTTAGGGTTTAGGGTTTAGGGTTTAGGGTTTAGGGTTTGGGGTTTGGGGTTTAGGGTTTAGGGTTTAGGGCTGGGGTTCACTGTTTGGGGTTCAGGGTTTTGGGAATTCCTCTTTCTAGTAGGTACCAAACCCTAAACCCTAGAAGGGTAACGATCCCTATTTCCGGAGACACAAGTTCAATAAACAGAGGTGGTTATAAATGGCTTGTGTGACTAAACCCTAAAAATTAAATTTTATAACCCCCAAGAAAAGGCAACTATCCCTACTGACGGAAACACACGCTTCATAAACAGAGGTTGTTATATATTTATATGTTTTATGATATGTATATATGTATACATATAGAACAAATAGGTGTATATACAGTATAATACATATATATATATATACCTCTGGAATCTATGATAATACACATATATATATATATATCATATATACATATATATATATACACATATATGCATATATATATATATGCTCTTTTTATATTTATATTTGTTTCTGTTTGTTCGCAATTATGCTAAAGCAGCAGCAAAGGTAAGACTCTTTCAAAACAGTACGAAGACCTAGCAAACATAGCCAGCACGAAAATAGGCGGACAAGGACAGCCGCAGTCAACTTGCAGCAAGCAGCCAACGTAACAAGCAGGAAGCCAGAAGCAATGAAGCAGCAGAGGCTGAGAAGCAACAGGCCAGGCAGAACTTTCTGAAACCAAGCGCGCAAGATGGGGCTATAATGCATATATATATATATATATACATATATATATGTGTATGTATAGAAATATACATATATATATATATATATATTAGCGCATTTTGTGTATATATCCTCGAGCGAGACAGATGACGGGATGTGCTCACAAGCACCCTAAGCACTAAACCACAAGGATGCCTTCAGGATCTGGATGCAGCTCTCTTGGCGGTTCTGCGTCGCGACAGCCAGTGGCGTCTGACCCTGGGAATTTGGCTGCGAAACCTGAGGCAAAAGGCAGGAATGGAAGATTGTAGGGTTCAGGGTTTAGGAAGAATGATTGTAGGGTTGAGCATTTAGGTTTTAGGACCCCTAAACTCTTCCGTGCATTCATGCGGCGTTGGCACCAACCTTGAGCAGGTACTCCAACAACTCCTGCAAACCCCAGGCAGGCTGGCAGTCGCTCATGGGGTCGGCACCTTGCCCTCGTCATGATGTGGATGACAAAGGGGTTTAGGGTTTAGGGTTTAGGGTTTAGGGTTTGGGGTTTAGGGTTTAGGGTTTAGGGTTTAGGGTTTAGGGTTTAGGGTTTAGGGCAAGTAAAAGTAACAATAGCTATCGTTAGAATCACAATGCACCTTGCGTCCGTAGCCAGCAGCGTAGTGCAGGCCACCTTGCATAGTCCAGCTGCGTGATCCCAAGAGCAGCCGACAAACAAACTGCTGCTTGCACTTTGAGATTTTCCTGCACTTTGCAAGCGCAACACTTCGCGAACAGACTTGCAACAGCTCGTGCTGAGCATGCTAAGCAAGGTCCAGAATCAGCTGCTGATTTTTTCAGCAGTTTCCGAAAGAATCTCAGCCAGGGAGCTGTTGCCAGAGCTGTCCACTGCATAGGGATTTGCACGGCTGTCCTTCACATTCACATGGAATCGATCCAGGTTACGGCCTGCTGGGCCCCACTTTTGGGCAGTCTAAACGATAAGGATTGCACCATAATGCAAATGACGACGACCGTAATAATGTCCCCTAGCACATAGTACATAATACATCATACACGATAGTACACAATACGGAATGCAGAATACAGATCACAGGGGTGCATCGCATATAATACTTAACATACCCAAAACACAGAATACAGGATACATAACCAAATAACAACCAGTAACGATGATGATGATCCAAAGCAAAGGCCACATCATGAAGGGTCAAAAGCAGCTTTAGCCCAAAAGCCGAGTGTCCAAAAGAAGCTTCACGACGGCAATGCGGTTGGCTCCTGAGGGCACGAGGACTGGTTGCCCTTTAGGGTTTAGGGTTTACGGTTTAGGGCTTAGGGAACACTACCCTACACCCGAAAACGCCCTTGCTTCAATGCTTGGGCCGGCACCAATCGCATAGCCAAGGGCAGTGATGCCCTGTCCACAGGCAGCCATGTGAATCAACCAGGTCAGGTTGCTTCGAAGCCAAAACAAAGGTAGGTCCATGGGGGGGGGAGGGGGGGGGACCGTATACATGTATATATGTTTTCATATATTGCATGTGGTCTCTTTTGGGGTGCCCAGCATAAGGCAGCACCCTTTCAAAAAGGAAATCCCAAAGATGGACCATCATGTTGGACTAAAACCCTAAACCCTAAACCCTAAACCCTAAACCCTAAACCCTAAAGCCTAAAACCTACACCCCAATACTCTGGGGGGTTACGTGCTCCGATGCTCTGGGCCTTGTGGTCCTGGGAGTCCAGCGGCTTCTTCTTGTTCAAGAACTCCTCCGCACGTAAGCCGTAAACCCTAACCCTAAACCCTAAACCCTAAACCCTAAACCCTAAACCTTGAACACGAAACCCTAAGCCCGTCCATGTCTGTTGCCTTGATCTCGCATGGCGCGGGGAAGCCGCAGAGTTTATGAAGCAGCTCATATGTTGAGCACATGTTTTGTACTTCCTACTATAGTGATGCGAAATAAATACTGTGTAAGTTTTTACATATAAATATATAAATATATATATATATACATATATGTTGATATTGTATGCATATATATATGTACAATATACTATATATAAAGACGACAGCAAGCATGTTCTGCTCGCGCCTGCACTGCCTTCAGGTCTCCGTTCTTGGCTGCCTCATGGAAGGCTTGATACAAGGCATGCCCTGCAACTTGGCACTTGCTGCCGCGGTGCACCCTAAACCCTAAACCCTAAACCCTAAACCCTAAACCCTAAACCCTAAACCCTAAACCCTGAGCTTGTCAAGGTGGCCTCCTGCAGGGTAAGGGAAGCTTCATCGATCCTCGGTTGATCGACTGCGGAGCCCGCGACGGAGGGGCGGTGGGTGTTCCAGATTCAAGTCCCTGTTTAGGGTTTAGGGTTTTGAGGTTTAGGGTTTAGGGTTTAGGGTTTTAGGGTTTAGGGTTTAGGGTTTAGGGTTTAGGGTTTAGGGTTTAGGGTTTAGGGTTTAGGGTTTAGGGTTTAGGGTTTAGGGTTTAGGGTTTAGGGTTTAGGGTTTAGGGTTTAGGGTTTAGGGTTTAGGGTTTAGGGTTTAGGGTTTAGGGTTTAGGGTTTAGGGTTTAGGGGTTTAGGGTTTAGGGTTTAGGGTTTAGGGTTTAGGGTTTAGGGTTTAGGGTTTAGGGTTTAGGGTTTAGGGTTTAGGGTTTAGGGTTTAGGGTTTAGGGTTTAGGGTTTAGGGTTTAGGGTTTAGGGTTTAGGGTTGAAGCTGGCTGGTTCTTAGTAGGGAATGAGGGTACCGTATATAATCTCTTAAAGTGAATGTAGTATATAGGGCTTAAGTCTCTCATTCCCTACTAAGGACCAGGGGGGTCCAGCCCCTGTTTAAGGACTACATGTGGGAGATCCTCTGAATTAGGGCCACTTTTGGGGTTACGGCTTAAGATTTTATTTATTACCACTACTATTATTATGATTATTGTTATGATTATTAAAGGCGGCTCCGAATACTTAGGGTGCCCACAAAGGGACCATAATGTTGAGGAATGACCTGTTCGGGTGGGAGCCTTGTTGCTACAAGGCAGTATAGAACTAGTGTTGAGGGTTTAGGGACCATTTGTATTGGGGAAGATAACTCCAAGTAAACCCTAAACCCTAAACTCTAAACCTCTACAAACCCTCAAGCCTACCAATGAGCTGAAGTCTGGGCACTTCTTCAGGACCGGCTGAAGCTCCGAAGGGAGACCTCCCATCCTCGGCTACCGCGGCTAAGGAACTCAAATTGAGGTTAGTTTCTAGGGTTTAGGGTTTAGGGTTTAGGGGTTCTATTCTATTTGGGGTATAAGATACCCTATTTTGGGACATTCCCAAATTCAGGGTGGGGATGTAAGGTTCAGACGTTCGACATGGCCCCATAGGAGGGATGCAGTGCAAAGCAGACTGTGTCGCCGCTTGAAAGCTGAGCTCCTTTAACATCAACCCGGCATCTTCTGGCTGATTTTCAGCATCATCTCTTCGTCCTTTCCGCCAGCAATAGCACGTGTTGTCGACTGTCTTCTTTGGGATGGGAAGGGGGGGGAGGGGGTCCGCTTTGCAAGCCCTAAACCCTAAACTCTAAACCCTAAACCCCAAACCCCTAAACCCCTAAACCCCTAAACCCCTGGCCTGGTAGTACTTCATGGCGGCCTCCATGCCATTCTTCTTGATGTCCTCAAAGACGCTGGCCTCAGTGGGCACAGAGATCCCCGACACCCCTTTGCGAGCAACGAATGCACCTTGATTGGTACACACATATCTGTGCGTATATATATACACACACAGAGACAGACACACACCAAGTATGTGCAGAAGTGCAACTGTAAACTTGCGTAAGGGGTTTAAAAAAACAAAACGGTCAAAAAACAAGGATCAAAAAATCAAAGCCTTGCAACAGAGCTGCTTTCAGGCTTCGTTGGCTTGAATTTGCCAGGGGATGAATATCGGGGTCGGCAAAATCACGAATAGTATGCCGCCCTTAATGGTCCCTTTCTAAATATACCAGAATAACCCCCCAAAACCCTAAACCCTAAACCCTTAACCCTTAACCCTAAACCCTTAACCCTAAACCCTAAACCCTAAACCTATCCCTCCATCCCCATGTGAATTGTGAATGAGCAGGTTGCTGTAACTCGCCGTGCTTGCAGCCTGCGAATGCGTATAGAAAAATGTTGTATTCGTAACTAAACATATTCCGGGCCCTTGCGAACCAAGATCCTGTAGGGTTAGGTCTTCCTTTCCTTCCTTCCGTAACGATTTGTTTTCTGTGCACTTACACACGTGCATACATACATGCATACATATACATATATGTATATACAGATGTATTAGTATTTGTGAACAAATACATGTACACACACACACACACACACATCTAAACTTGTGCAAAAAGCATATGTACATATTATACATATGTGCATATATACATATAATCACGTATAGACATATGTACGTAATTACATATATACATAGAAACATCCATGCATAGAAGCAGACATACATACTCTACCATACCATGACATGCCATACCATAGCCGTTACATTACATTACATTACATTACATTACCTTACCTTACCTTACATTACATTACATTAAATTACATTACCTTACCTTACATTACATTACATTACATTGCATACTTACACATATACCTAAATACCATTGAGGTTGCCGCGCTCCATGGGTGCCCTAAACCCAGCCTTCGTTGAAACTATGCTTTCCGGCGGGCTGCCCTGTGGAGTCAAAGTTGTTGGAGGGTTTAGGGTTTAAGTTTGGGGTTTAGGGTTTAGGGTTTAGGGTTTAGGGTTTAGGGTTTAGGGTTTAGGGTTTAGGGTTTAGGGTTTAGGGTTTAGGGTCTACTAAGAACCAGGAGAAAAAGGAAGCAGGTCAAGGAGGCATGCTTCGAGGGCCCCACCAGCTCAGGATCCGTCTCCAGGGCTTTCACGCGGTCCGCCACCGGGGCATCGCCGTTTGAGAGCCTGTGATGAACTGTTAGGGTTTAGGGGGTTTAGGGTTTAGAGTTTAGGGTTTAGGGTTTAGGGTGTAGGGTGTAGGGTGTAGGGTGTAGGGTGTAGGGTTTAGGGTTTAGGGTTTAGGGTGTCAGACCCAGGCAGCACGAGGCGCCATGGCTCAGTTGATTCGCAGTCTTCGAGCTTCCCAGGCATGAAATGGGCTGCTCTGCAATCCTAAACCCTAAACCCTAAACCCTAAACCCTAAACCCTAAACCCCCTACTCAGTGCTGCTCAGCAACTTCGTGTTGTAGTGCCTGAGCATTGGCACCAGCTCACAAACTCAAGCCTTCCGTCAGGATCACAGGTAGCCGCACCCTTCACTCCAGGGTCGTCTATTGGGGTGGTCCCCCTTTTTCTAAACGGTCCTTGGTAGGGTTTATAGTAACCGATTGCTAGAATCCCTATTAAGGAGCTGTTGGTATTTAAGGGAGAACATCCCAAAAGTCGTAATGCGTCTGTGCTGCTCGGCAATAGCCTGTGTCTGCAGCCAGCCTCACATGCTCAGGAGGCTTAGGGTTTCGGGTTTAGGGTTTGGGGTTAGGGTTTAGGGTTTAGGGTTTAGGGTTTAGGGTTTGGGGTTTAGGGTTTAGGGTTTAGGGTTTAGGGTTGAGGGTTTGAGGATGCACCGGAAGGCTTTAAGGGCGGTGCCTCGCATGGCTTCCGGGTTCTTCGAGAAGTTCTGCAAGGCCTTGGCAGTCTCCGGGTTGCCTCGGCGCACGGCACCGTGGGATGTCAGAAGCCTTTCACAAGGTCGATGCCCTAAACCCTAAACCCTAAACCCTAAACCCTAAACCCTAAACCCTAAACCCTAAACCCCCGGGGCCTTCCACGTAGGCCTTCACCTCGGCCCAGGTGTTGTCATCGATGTCGGGCAGGCGTGCAATCTGCATGGTGGTGCCATCCTGGGCATCGGAAGTGGTTTGGGGGTTGGGGTTTAGGGTTTGGGGTTTAGGGTTTAGGGTCTAGCGTTTAGGGTCTAGGGGCCCTATGACAGCCTGCCCACTGCTCCTGACAGCCGCAAAACTGCGGGCCCGAAAGCCAAAAACAAACACAAGGATCCTACTATTGGGGTAGAAGGGCCCCGAAAAAGGGGATTCCGAAAAAAAAACTCACTGTAGGATCCTTATGTTCATGTTCTGTTAACCCTAAACCCTAAACCCTAAACCCTAAACCCTAAACCCTAAACCCTAAACCCTAAACCCTAAACCCTAAACCCTAAACCCTAAACCCTAAACCCTAAACCCTAAACCCTACCTACACCCTACACCCTAAACTTAATAAGTTTCTTGGGGCCCCCAAAAAAAAGGAGCTGAGGAGGCAGCGCTGATCTTGAGCGTCTCAGTGGGAGTCTCGGCTGCCATGATGCTAGTGCCTGCATCGTATGGGCTTAGGGTGGAGATGCCTTGAGCTTTAGGGTTTAGGGTTTAGGGTTTAGCGTTTAGGGTTTAGGGTTTAGGGTTTAGGGTTTAGGGTTTAGGGTTTAGGGTTTAGGGTTTAGGGTGCTATGGAGCAGTATGCAACGCGTGCCTGGAGCGCGCGCTGCTGTCACCGGAAGGCGAAGTGTTGAGCAAAACTGCTTCGGTACAAACACACATATAACATAGGGGTCGGAATGATTACTACTCCTAGGGTTTAGGGTTTAGGGTTTAGGGTTTAGGGTTTAGGGTTTAGGGTTTAGGGTTTAGTACGAAGGACCTTTATGTACTATTTGGCAATCCTCTTTGTTTTATATTGTAAGGTTTCGGAAATAAGCGCGCTATTCTTTTTTAAAGAATTCAAGGAATTTAAACGCTTTAAATTCCATAAATTGGAAATAGGGCCGGTATTTCTTTTTTTAGGAATTTAAGGAATTTAAAGGGCTTAAATTCCTTAAATTCCTTAAATTGGAAATAGGGCCGGCATTTATTTTTTAAGGAATTTAAGGAATTTAAAGGGCTTAAATTCCTTAAATTCCTTAAATTGGAAATAGGGCCGGTATTTCTTTTTTAAGGAATTTAAAGAATTTAAGGAATTTTAAAAAATTTAAATTGGGTGGCCTGGGTTTTGAAATAGGGGCCGCCGATTTAAATTTTATAAATCCTTTAAATTCCTTAAATTCCTTAAATTGGAAATAGGGCCGGCATTTCTTTTTTAAGGAATTTAAGGAATTTAAAGGGCTTAAATTCCTTAAATTCCTTAAATTGGGAATAGGGCCGGTATTTCTTTTTTAAGGAATTTAAAGAATTTAAGGAATTTATAAAATTTAAATTGGGGGGCCTGGGTTTTGACATAGGGGCCGCCGATTTAAATTTTATAAATCCTTTAAATTCTTTAAATTCCTTAAATTGGAAATAAGGCCGGTATTTCTTTTTTAAAGAATTTAAGGAATTTAAAGGGTGTAAATTCCTTAAATTCCTTAAATTGGAAATAGGGCCGGTATTTCTTTTTTAAGGAATTTAAGGAATTTAAAGGGCTTAAATTCCTTAAATTCCTTAAATTGGAAATAGGGCCGGTATTTCGTTTTTAAGGATTTTAAAGAATTTAAGGAATTTATAAAATTTAAATTGGGTGGCCTGGGTTTTGAAATAGGGGCCGCCGATTTAAATTTTATAAATCCTTTAAATTCCTTAAATTCCTTAAATTCCTTAAATTGGAAATAGGGCCGGCATTTCTTTTTTAAGGAATTTAAGGAATTTACAGGGCTTAAATTCCTTAAATTCCTTAAATTGGAAATAGGGCCGGTATTTCTTTTTTAAGGAATTTATGGAATTTAAAGGGCTTAAATTCCTTAAATTCCTTAAATTGGAAATAGGGCCGGTATTTCTTTTTTAAGGAATTTAAGGAATTTAAAGGGCTTAAATTCCTTAAATTCCTTAAATTGGAAATAGCGCCGGTATTTCTTTTTTAAGGATTTAAAGAATTTAAGGAATTTATAAAATTTAAATTGGGTGGCCTGGGTTTCGAAATAGGGGCCGCCGATTTAAATTTTATAAATCCTTTAAATTCCTTAAATTCCTTAAATTGGAAATAGGGCCGGCATTTCTTTTTTAAGGAATTTAAGGAATTTAAAGGGCTTAAATTCCTTAAATTCCTTAAATTGGAAATAGGGCCGGTATTTCTTTTTTAAGGAATTTAAAGAATTTAAGGAATTTATAAAATTTAAATTGGGGGGCCTGGGTTTTGACATAGGGGCCGCCGATTTAAATTTTATAAATCCTTTAAATTCTTTAAATTCCTTAAATTGGAAATAAGGCCGGTATTTCTTTTTTACGGAATTTAAGGAATTTAAAGGGCTTAAATTCCTTAAATTCCTTAAATTGGAAATAGGGCCGGTATTTCTTTTTTAAGGAATTTAAGGAATTTAAAGGGCTTAAATTCCTTAAATTCCTTAAATTGGAAATAGAGCCGGTATTTCTTTTTTAAGGAATTTAAAGAATTTAAGGAATTTATAAAATTTAGATTGGGTGGCCTGGGTTTTGAAATAGGGGCCGCCGATTTAAATTTAATAAATCCTTTTAATTCATTAAATTCCTTAAATTGGAAATAAGGCCGGTATTTCTTTTTTAAAGAATTTAAGGAATTTAAAGGGCGTAAATTCCTTAAATTCTTAAATTGGAAATAGGGCCGGTATTTCTTTTTTAAGGAATTTAAGGAATTTAAAAGGGCTTAAATTCCTTAAATTCCTTAAATTGGAAATAGGGCCGGTATTTCTTTTTTAAGGAATTTAAAGAATTTAAGGAATTTATAAAATTTAAATTGGGGGGCCTGGGTTTTGAAATAGGGGCCGCCGATTTAAATTTAATAATTCCTTTAAATTCTTTAAATTCCTTAAATTGGAAATAAGGCAGGTATTTCTTTTTTAAAGAATTTAAGGCATTTAAAGGGCTGGTATTTCTTTTTTAAAGAATTTAAGGAATTTAAAGGGCTTAAATTCCTTAAATTCCTTAAATTGGAAATAGGGCCGGTATTTCTTTTTTAAGGAATTTAAGGAATTTAAAGGGCTTAAATTCCTTAAATTCCTTAAATTGGAAATAGCGCCGGTATTTCTTTTTCAAGGATTTAAAGAATTTAAGGAATTTATAAAATTTAAATTGGGTGGCCTGGGTTTTGAAATAGGGGCCGCCGATGTAAATTTTATAAATCCTTTAAATTCTGTAAATTCCTTAAATTGGAAATAAGGCCGGTATTTCTTTTTTAAAGAATTTAAGGAATTTAAAGGGCTTAAATTCCTTAAATTCCTTAAATTGGAAATAGGGCCGGTATTTCTTTTTTAAGGAATTTAAGGAATTTAAAGGGCTTAAATTCCTTAAATTCCTTAAATTGGAAATAGGGCCGGCATTTCTTTTTTAAGGAATTTAAGGAATTTAAAGGGCTTAAATTCCTTAAATTCCTTAAATTGGGAATAGGGCCGGTATTTCTTTTTTAAGGAATTTAAAGAATTTAAGGAATTTATAAAATTTAAATTGGGTGGCCTGGGTTTTGAAATAGGGGCCGCCGATTTAAATTGCATAAATCCTTTAAATTCCTTAAATTCCTTAAATTGGAAATAGGGCCGGCATTTCTTTTTTAAGGAATTTAAGGAATTTAAAGGGCTTAAATTCCTTAAATTCTTTAAATTGGAAATAGGGCCGGTATTTCTTTTTTCAGGAATTTAAGGAATTTAAAGGGCTTAAATTCCTTAAATTCTTTAAATTGGAAATAGGGCCGGCATTTCTTTTTTAAGGAATTTAAGGAATTTAAAGGGCTTAAATTCCTTAAATTCCTTAAATTGGAAATAGGGCCGGTATTTCTTTTTAAGGAATTTAAAGAATTTAAGGAATTTATAAAATTTAAATTGGGGGGCCTGGGTTTTGACATAGGGGCCGCCGATTTAAATTTTATAAATCCTTTAAATTCTTTAAATTCCTTAAATTGGAAATAAGGCCGGTATTTCTTTTTTAAAGAATTTAAGGAATTTAAAGGGCTTAAATTCCTTAAATTCCTTAAATTGGAAATAGGGCCGGTATTTCTTTTTTAAGGAATTTAAGGAATTTAAAGGGCTTAAATTCCTTAAATTCCTTAAATTGGAAATAGGGCCGGTATTTCTTTTTTAAGGAATTTAAAGAATTTAAGGAATTTACAGGGCTTAAATTCCTTAAATTCCTTAAATTGGAAATAGGGCCGGTATTTCTTTTTTAAGGAATTTAAAGAATTTAAGGAATTTATAAAATTTAAATTGGGTGGCCTGGGTTTTGAAATAGGGGCCTCCGATTTAAATTTTATAAATCCTTTAAATTCCTTAAAATCCTTAAATTGGAAATAGGGCCGGCATTTCTTTTTTAAGGAATTTAAGGAATTTAAAGGGCTTAAATTCCTTAAATTGGAAATAGGGCCGGCATTTCTTTTTTAAGGAATTTAGGGAATTTAAAGAATTTATAAAATTTAAATTGGGGGGCCTGGGTTTTGAAATAGGGGCCGCCGATTAAAAAGGCTTTTTTTAATTTCAAAACCACCTTAAATTCCTAAATACCTAATTTAGGAATTTAAGGAATTTAAGGTTTTTTTTTAAATTTTAAAACGGGCCGGCCCAACAATTTTATTTACCCAATTTAAGAATTTAAGAATTTTAAGGAATTTAAGGAATTTAAGGTTTTTTTTTTAATCTAAAAAGGGCGTTTTTTGAATTAAAAAAAACTTAGATTCCTAAATACCTAATTTAGGAATTTCAGGAATTTAAGATTTTTTTAAAATTTACAAAGGCCTTTTTTAAACTTTAAAACACCTTAAATTCCTTATTCTTTAAATTCCTAAATACATAATTTAAGAATTTAAGGAATTTAAGGTTTTTTTTTTAATTTAAAAAAGGGCCCGCCCAACAATTTTATTTACCCAATTTAAGAATTTAAGGAATTTAAGGAATATAAGATTTTTT